ATTGCATGTGGTACGCACTCAGTCAATGTTAGATACTTTTACTTGCATTCATTAATACATGTTCAATAATTTCCCAAGTTGTAAGCAAGACACCATGTATCAGGAGCAGAGTACATGGAAGAAGTGAATCTGAACGGAGAGAAGAGAAATTGCAGATGAAAAATGTTTTGGTGCTTTAGTTGCTACAGCAATGCATGCGGAGAACTGTCCTACAACCTCCTTTAGATCCTAGTGTCTCATCAGCTCAGGAGCACAAAAAGGTCAACCAGTTAGGTCACTTCACAGACTGTCTGTGTGAATAACTGTGAATGAACATTATAGTTGAGATGCCTCTGTCTTTTCCAAAGGAACAAAACACAAAGCAGTGTCCTGAGAGAGAATGGGCCTGAGAGAGAGTTTCAAGGCCTGTTCGAAATGCTTGGGGGCTGCCCACTGAACTGCAATCTGTTATACAGATGGTCTATGGTTCATCAATTTTTAGAGAATTCATTTGTTAATAAACAATATGCTTATAACCTAAATATATTAATTCTCCATTATGAACTGACAATCTGAAAGAATAAAATGTTCATCTATTATGTCATGCGAAGGACAGAATTTGAGAGCAGGAATTGTGGAGTTTTGACCTACACTTTGCACTAAATATTCTATTGATCTCCAGAAATTTCACTGGTAAGCATTTAATAAATTTAGTTTAAATAGGAAGTGACTTGGACATGCATCTCTTTTTAACTTGTTTGATTGGTTTACCTGATTCAAATCAAGATGTCCTTGGATTAAATTTCCATATGAACGAGATTCAGAAAAACATTGAAATTGACATTGAGTGAATCAAAACTTTTTTAGGGTAAATTGTTTTCTCTAATATCGAGGTTCATGATTCACCCGACAGCTAGAATGATAACTGAAGTTAATAAGTGGAAGGTTTGTGGTATGAAAAATGCTATATTTAACTGAGAAACAAAAGTGGTAATTTATTTAAAACTTCCACTTTATTCAATAGTAGAAGCATTTTTATTACTTTTTAAAATAAAGTGGGTTTAAAAGCACCTACCACAATGTTTCAATAGACAAGGTACTCAGTAAATGTCAGATGTAAATTTTAGTGGAATACAAATGAGTTCTTGACAGTGCCTAATGGGAATTTCAGATTTTTTTATTTCACAGTCCTTGTTTGTGACAATTAATCCTATTGAAATCAATATTTATGTAGGGTTTCCTTCCTCTGTCCCAGTCCCAGGTCCCAGGAAAAGCAAGCAAGGAATACAGCATTTGTAAGGAAAATTAAGCATTGTATCTTTGATGTCTGCCTAGGAAATAAACTAAATAGGTCGAAGTAACAGAGCACAGGATCTCAAGAATAAGTAGCTCAAAATTTCCGTCTTGATTTAAACTATTCTGGATGTTAAGTTGTAGACAGATGTAACAAACACACTTTATCAATGACACAGTGGTAATCAACACATAATCAAATGATAATTCAACTTCATTTTCCAACCTTAGAATCAATCAACCCAAAGACTGTTCTCACTTGTAATTTTCATATTAATACATTCTCAGAATATTACTAGTGCTTAACATAAACAAATAAAAGGCTTGTGGGGCCCAATTAGGGAAGGAGAATGGACGAAATTTCCACATATAGTGAGAGAAAATTCATGAAGAATTTCACTTTGATGGAACCTAAGACACTGACAGTAGAAATGTCATGAGATGTTTGGTCAAGAGACCAAAAAGTTAACACACTGGAAACTTGACAAGCTGGGAAGCCAACAGGAGGATAATTAATCACACGTTTAGGGAAACCACTGGATGGTTAACATCTTCTTGCTAGGCAATATTTCTAGGCAGCAGATCTTCTCACATCTTAAAGAATCAGAACAGTTTATTCTCATTTTTTAAAGTACAGTATATTTTTCAAATTGATTATGCATATTTGTGTTCGTCAACTTTTGGGTCTCTCAACTATCTATACACCTATGAAGTTTATGGACTATCGCATTTATAAGAAATAAAGATATTGACTGGATGTTAATATGTATGATAGCCCTCACTAAAATAAAAGTTTTACACTCACCATGTAGTGAATGATAGAGTTTGCATATGGTCATATAATAAAACCAATCAGAGAGGGAAAGATGCCTTCAGAGATGTGCCTATTGTAGCTGAATAATGAAATACAAAATATATTTGAGGTTGATTAAAATATTAAAGTAAATTTAGGTATAAAAATATCTTTACTGTATAAATACTTAAGTAGGACTTGGTACTAAAGAAAATATCTATTGATATCCATGATAAAAGACAAATGTAGGAAATTTTGATGTTTCAAACATTGAATCATATCACACAAGTATAAAAACTACTGAGATTTGCTATTGAAATTAGGTTGTCTTTAAAGTGTCATTAGCTGAACTTTTAAAACAATAGCAATTAATATCAGATAGTTGAAGAAAAAGAAAACTGGCTTGATTGGAGGAAGAGCATTGTTATCTATCAATCTTGTTCTCTTCACAAATACGCTCAACACTTAATGTTGTCGAACTCACCCAACTTCCCCCCACCCTCAGGCTGATTCTCGTCACTCGCGCTGCCTCCTGCACATGCCCAGTGAGGAAAAAAGGGAAGATGACCTGTACAAGTGCTTCCCAAGGATAATTTTCCATCTCTAAAAAGGGTGCTACATATTTAGACAGTCAAAGTAGGACAGAAAGTATTCACATTTCCATTTCTTCTTTTTCTCTTCTGTCTCTTCACCACGTTTCCCCAAAAAGCATTAATGTTAGGCCAACTTTTTTCCTTGATATTAAAATGTTTGCTACCAGACTTTGTAGCTTACAATGAGAGTGTTTCTGTAGTTTTCCTTGCCGATATTTTGATTGAGATTCTACACTGTTTCTTTCCCCATCTAGGGCCAGTCAAGTATGCCAGATTTCTTTTTTTTTCAAATTATTTTATTGAGGTCATATTGGTTTATAGCATTGTGTAATTTCAGGTGTACATTATTATATGTCGGTTTCTGTATAGACTGCATTGTGCTCTCCACCAATAGTCTAGTTTTTATCCGTCACCACACATACGTGCCCCTTTACCCCTTTCACCCTTTCCAAATTTCTAGTGGAGAAAAGTTGGAGATGGCTTAGGGACGGGGCTGAGGCTGAGTTAGTTTGTGGTAGAAGGGTAGAAGGAGACAGAAGGGGGGAGGGAACATAGGCATAGCTCCCAGGAAGGTGCAGATCAGATCTCGGATTATGGGGACTGCTTCACATTATGATACTCCACCTTTCCTCTTTAAAATTAACCCACTATCTCTCTACTCATAGGGAAGAATTAGGCCGCTATCTTGTCACCTCTATAATTGTTCCTAATTCATAATGCATTAATTGGAAATTAATTAAATTTAGAAAAGTTTTTATTTTAGTCTTCCAAATATAAGTAATTTCACTAGCTCATTTGGCCTAATACTTATGTCTTTTCTTTCATAGTACCAACATTTTACTTTATTCAAAATATGGCCAATTTATAAAACCAAACAAAATCATCCCCAAATCGTGGCTTACTTGAAGTTTGGGTGATGAAAGTAATACATCATTGACTGAATTTTTTATTAAATTTTTACATATGCAGGTTCATCACAGCTTGACAATTTGAAGATATTTTCAATAACTGACTTGTGTCATGCTGTTTCATTGCCCTGGCCATTTAAATACACCTTTGACATGTTTTGTGAATTTGGTTTACAGATTATCTCGAAAGATATGAAGACAAGCACACTCATAAACACATGAATGATCCAGTAAATAGGCAACAAAAAAGTCCTACGGAGCTAGGCAAAAGCATTATTTCTTCCTTGTTGAAGGTATCAGCATATGCTACATCTTATGTTGCACAAGTGTACTCATTAAATATTATGAAATGTACAGCAGGCCGGGAAGCTCTAACTAGCTAGTCAAAGTCACTCATACCTGTGTGTTCGTATTTATGTCGCAGAAGGGAACTGCTTTTCTGGAATGTCTTGTCACATAAGTCACATGCATACATGCCACTCTCTGTCTTCTTGATCTTCTTTCGAGACAGACAGGAGTCGGAGTCTGTCATGTCATCTAGGCCTGACATGTAGTCTTGTGCTCCATCAAGCAATTCTCCCTGTGATACAATCACATAGTTCAACACAGTCTCTTCTCCTTGTGTTTATACCAAACAACTTCGCATAGGCTGACACTCGGAGAACCTCAAAAGGGCTTGCTACTAATTGATCTACTTTTTAAAAACTATTACTTTCCATGAAACATATAGAGGAGGTCTCACATTTCCAGAAAATATAAATCTTCTTTGCCCCAGATGGTAGAGCTCACTGTTTTTCAAGGACAGAAAATAGTCAGCTCTGAAGGTGAGAAAAACAAATTTTTAAAAAATCCTTAATTTTCTTTATATCAGGAAATACCAAGAGCGAAAATGAAACATCAGACTTTGTGTATTTCCAGTGTGCTTAACTTTGGAAATGATCTGTAGCTGTAGAAACCCCATTTTAATTGAATTTTATATTTAGGTACAAAATGTTATTATTATGCAATCTATTTAAATGTATGTCTACCAACTAAAGGCCTCAAGCTATAGTTTTATATTTAATTTTCTAATTTGAAATAGGGAATATTAATAACACTTTTTATCAATGTTCTATCTATGTTAAAACAGCCTTCAGCATTGAGCAATAATGAATGTGGATCAGTAAATTATTAAATTTCTTGATATTTATTTTGTCTTGATCCAAAGGAGTGCAAACTTGCATGATAACATACATTTCCATTTGCTAGTCCACAGTTCAGTTTTCTTAGACTACGTTTGCACTAATTAATATTAGAGAAGATTAAATAGGCTTAAATACATTTACAAAGAGGGCAGATGCACTGGAAATGGGAATCCTGGAACAGCTGTTACAGAGGTGCACTGCTATTTACGCTCCTATTTTGCAAACAGGCATTATACTCCGTGATGTTAAAACATACCTACTTTTGTATTTGAAAAACCATAAATTATTCACTAATTTGAAAATTACATTAAAAGTCATGTGGAATGTACAAAACATTTTTTAAATACACTTCAAAATAAACTATTCTCTATAAAAGCAAGTATGTATCAACTTTAGACATGCAGTATTGCACATTGTGAACATCTGTAAAAGTATATGACTGTTATAAATGTTAACTCTTAGCATCCATGCAAGTCCTACCAAATACTGTTATCAAAGTATAATTCTAAAAGCAGACGGATCAATCCAAATAAATCTCAAAAATAAATACTAAGTTCTTTATCTTATTAAAGGTAAATAAGCTAAAATAGTACAGTGTTCTACTCTTTCTCCATTTATTTGTCTAGCCCACTCAGTTTTAGGTTCAAATTAAAACAAACTCTTCTATTTCTGCTGAAAATAGAACACTTCATTTTTTTAGTAAGATTTTTTTCCCTATATGCTCGTAAATGATAACATTTTTACCTCCTCTCTTCAGAGCAAAGAGATATGTCTCATTACCTGAAATCCTTGTTTCCGCTGGTACTTTCTTCTTTGCTGCATATCAGCAAAAGTAGCTGCTCCAGTTGGATAGGTATAGGCCATATGTGGTAGGAAGCTCATCTGATCCAGTCCTGGGTATGGTCGGAGCCCAGGGATACTGGTCTGGACTGGTGGCATGAAAGTGGCGGGGGGAAATGCGCTTTGTGGAGGAAGAGCCGTGTATAAAGGTTTGGCACTAAATGGGTTCATGCCGAACACTGGGTTAGTGCTTTTGTTGTCCAGATTATTTGAATTCGAAAACTCCTTCTTGATAAAAGTCAAGTTTAGAGGCTCATCTGAGTTTTCAGATGATGAAGAAACACTGTTGTGGTCTAAATTTATGCTGCTAGCTTTTGTTTTGTTCTTTGCGGCTATAATACTTTTGGGTTCTTTCATTTGTTTTGGTAATGACAAGTCCAAAGGCTCAGCCTGGAGCTCCTCAGAAGAGAAGCTGTTTGGAGTGTAAGAACTACTGTGGGAGTTTTTAGAAGATGTGGAGGAAAGATTTAAGGGAGAAGGAGTATTACTCCTCGAGTGGTCCAATTTTTCAACTGGTTTAATATTGGTAAAATGGGAAGGTTTTGTTAGCCTGAGAGGAGGATCACAATTCGTAACACTGTTGTGGAGTTCTGCTATAGACGGTGATGTTATGGAGTCCATAGGTTTTACAGGAGACCTGGGTAATAAAGAGTCTTTTGTGGGAGGGTTACTGTTGGGAGCTAACGGCTTGGAGTTCCTTTCCAGTGATGGTGACCTGGAATTTGAATACTGGTAGACTTTTCGTTGCTCAAACCATTCCTTCACAAATTCCTGAGGAAGGCCCACAGCAATGGAAATTTTCAGCAGTTCATCAGAGTTGGGCTCCATGTTCATGGCATAATATGCTTTAAGTACAGACATGTGGTCCTTGTATGGGTTGATGGGGCTTGTCATTCCTTTCTCAGAAAGTACAGATGACAAGAGGAGGGCTTTATTATCAACAAAAACTCCAGCTTTGTTGGGGACTATGTTTTCATGAGGTTGCAGGACTGCCTTGATCTCTTCATTCATCTTACAAAGGTAACGTTCATGCTGATGCAAGGGAATGGGGCCAGGGAAACTTTCTTTACAGAACTGGCATGAAAATGGAGTGGATATGTTGTGGTTCTCAATCATTTTATCATCGGTGACCAAATCTATTAAAGTACGTAGCTTCTCTTTCTTTATATTACTGATCTGTCTCCTTGAGTCAGTAGTCAAGCTCTGGAGGCAAGCTTTGGCTTCATTGACCTTTTCTAATGTATAGTCAATAATACTTTTAGTGGCACCATTATGACTCACTACTGGAAGACCGACAGGTGGAATATTAGGAGAAGTAACTCCTTGTTCCTCAGGTTGAGAGCATGGATCCTTCATGTGATAACCTTTCAACTTTGAAATTTCTTCAGCCTTGCAGTCCATTTTTTGCCTGGAAACCGTATTGTCCACAATCTGTAGAACTTTTTGTACCTCGCTTAAATTACTATTCATTGTGGGAAATCCAAGTAAAGGGGCTTCCATCCCTACACCTAAGTGCTGCATTGGACTCTGAGCAGACGGATGAACTCCTAAAGGGCTGGTGGCTCCAAGTGCACCATTCATAAAGGGACTAGTGCCACTAAACCCGTGTGTGGCCATAAGAACTTTATAGTCATTGAAGTCTAGTGGTTCTGTTTTAATTTTAAGTAAGCCTGTTTGTTCAGACATACTAAGTGGTTTTCCGTTCTCCAATTTGTTTCTTAACTGGGTAATGGCTGAATTAGTAGGAGAAGAAGAAACAGAATTAGGGGAAGAACCCGTCTTGATATTGTTTCTCATTCGGCCATTTACAGAGATTAAACCAATACATTTCTTGCTGCTGATGTGTGAACTGTAGGAACCAGAATGGGAGAAACGTTTCTTGCAGTTTGGGCACTCGTATGGTTTTTCACCTAAAATGATAATTAAAATTAGTGTTACATTTCTCTGATTGTAATTACCAGAATCTGTGAAATCAAATGAAAGGAATACAATGGGGTACCTCTACATTCTAGGTGCTTAGATTAGAATTATGTGGCCATAACTGTTTCTGGGCTTTATCTACCCTGGGAAGACATAATTCAAGATGGTAGCAGTGGAAGGTGAGGGCTATCTATGCCTTTTTCAGCCAAGATCCCAAATCTTGTCTTGCCATCGGCAGCCTCCTATTTAAACAGTGTCAGATTAATGTGTGGTCAATAGCACAATAAAGATGTCACAGTATTTAAAGGGAAGTGTAGCCATGGCTTTAATCAACTCTGGAGATTCCATTGATTCTACCAATCCAACGAGTCCTTTGAATAGCATCCAATTTGGTAATAAAATGCTTGGCAGAGCTATCAAAATAGTTATAAAGAAGAAATCTCAGTGGTGGGATGTTGTTCTGTAATATACAGCTCTGAGGAATCAAAGAACGTTTATTATACAAAAGCTCTTATCCAAAATTCTTCAATTTTTTCTTTCATGGTTAGGTATCAAAAATGAATATCCTTCAGAATTTGCCAGCTGAGTTTCTTCAGGTCAAAAATATTAATGTGTAGAAGGGTTTTTAGAAGGACAAAAAGAAGCCTCTAGATTTTGTAAGAAATCAAAGCCTTTGCAATTTTTAGAAAGGATAAACATTCTTCTTCTGTTTATAAGATCATGCTATTGGTAGTACCACAGGTCTCATGAAGACAAAGCATATACACCTAGTTTATGAAGTAAATGGGTAGTTCCAACAAGCTACGAACAGGATTGCGTAGATTTTAAACAAGCTTTTAAAAGTCCCCTAATGAAACAAAATGCAAATGTGAGCACCGGCACCTCTGCTACTCACCGCTGTGAATTCGCAGGTGCTCCTTCAGATGGTGTTTGTATTTGAAGGCCTTGCCGCACTCTGTGCATTTGAACTTGCGGTTACCTGCTCCTTGGGTCAGCATTTGGTGCTATAAAAGGAGAAAGACTGACATCAGTTTTGTGCAGGATGAACAAAGGAAATTTGTTACAAATATTTTTAAAAGGCCTCTATTTTTCAGACAGGCCAAAAGGTTTGAGTGCATGTTTATTTATTTGCCCAGTCTTCCAGAGTTGCAATAAAAGTGATAATGTTGGCAATAAAATTGGAACAAATAAAAAAAAGTGCTTTCACATGCGCATCCAGTGCTTGCTTTAGAATTATCTCTGTAGTCTGTTTTCCAAAATGTTTCTTTGAGCCTTTGGAGATGAGAAAGCACAATTGTAAAGATGTTTGTGGTTCCCTGTGTTTACTGCAAATTCTAAAATCTGAAGATTCCCTGTTGGAATGCAACTGTTGTGTCAAGGAAAAAAAATATTATCGTGAAAATTCTAAATAGTCTCCCAAAAAACTCCCCACACAAATAACTAATTTTATCAAATTTTCTGTATCAGGGTAAAAAGTCTGTCTTATACTAAAGCAATGCCAAATTTGAAGAAGAAGAAAATAAGCCTCATACACAAACAAAAATCTCCTTGACTGTAAATATTTCACTACACTATAAGCATGTTTAAATATCCCATTCACTGTGCTAAGAGCAAATGAAAGCCCTGTTTTTCCTGAGGTGTTGCATATCAGATCTGATTCATTGTCAAATGTAAGAGACAACATCTTGGGTTATAGCTGCTTGAGCAGTTTTATCACAGGCCAGGAGGAAAGACTTCAACGACTTTTCATTTTCCTTTTTAGTAGTGTGCTAGGAAGTAGGGACAAAAAAGAAAAAAAGTTTACTGAAAAGACAAGTTAAAAGCAGCGAAGATATAATCAAACACAGCTGACCTTTTTGAACAAGAGAAAAAAAAGCACTGTGACTTAGAATTCTGAAAAAAAAAAAAAAAAGAATACAGTCATCCACTCTGGATGCTCAAGGTAGGAGGTCAGCCTTTTTCAAGCAGCAATGACACAAAAGCCTTTTGCAAAAAGACAGCACAGAAACGGTATGACAACTGCTAGGGTGTGCTGAATCTTCCCACATTCCTAGTGAGACAGATGGTGTTACATGGGACACAGGGAGGTTTGTTCAAACAGCAGCAACCTTCAAAGATCAAGCAGAGCCCAGCCCGCCGAGCGCCATTGAGGGACCAGCGCTCATATGTTGCTGAGTTGCATAAACAAACAGCAACAGCTGCTTTGTCTCCCCCCACAGCCCTCAGAGGACTACTATAAACTTTAGTTGTGCCACTGTTAATATGATACAATCATTTTAATTTACTAATTGTAAATGCCATGAGCAAATGAGGGGACTTTTCAACACCAAAGCTACCATTCATAATGCGCCAACACAATCACACTTCTGCATGTGAAATTTAAAGCAGTTATGCTAGATAAATATCTAGGCACTTTTTTTTTTCCCTAGAGTTTTTGTGCATATGAGCAAGGGGAGATAAACTGTTACATAAGTGTAACTATGCAAGCTTGGTTTTGGTAACTGAAGTTTGAAAAACATTCAGGTGACAAATCCAATCAGATATAAATGGAATAATTTTACATGAGTTGTTCTCTTAAAATAGTAAAATTCCATAATATAGTATCATCACGATTGCTTCATTGTGTTTGCTTATTCTCATTTTCTTATTCAAAGAAAATAAAGCCCAGAAGAAAACAACACAAGAATTTTATAGAATATCCTGTTTAATAATTTTAAAAACAGATATGGTGTTAAGGTTTAGATAGGATGATTCCAGATCTGTAGGGCCAGTTATTGGGACTTAAGGCACACCATTTGTGTTACCATCTGAACACATCATACTATCAATCTGCAGGCAATTCTCTCAGGGGGACAGAAGGAGCAGTTTTCCTAAAACATTTAAGGGACACTGTGAATCAATCCTGTTCAATCATTTTAAGGATTGAAGAAGCTATGCTTACCTGTAGACTTTTTATTTTTGACACAAATAAGCCAAAAAAGGCAAAGCAATTTTAAAATTTAACAAGAAATATGCACATTAAAAAGGGATTATTTTTAATGTAGATCCAACATTTTAGTATTAATTCAGTTCATTTAATATATATATGCATATATATTATATGCTTTTTTGATTTTCCTTAAAACTCTTAATTAGATTTCATAAACTAGTAGCAGCTTGTAAAAATACTCTAAGTAATTGAAGGTGTTATATGACAAATGAAAGAAATACATACTTCTTTTACTATGACTTAGATCCTATAGGAAAAAAAATTCTAAGTAAAACTAGGTGAAAAATGGAATTAAAATTGCTGAGATGTTTAATAATGTATAATTAAAATGCTACAATTTCATTCACTTTTTGTGGAACATAAAAATGAAACTAAAGTCAAGTTAAAGTGCAAATAAAATTTCTAAATTAGAAATTAACACACTCATTCGATCGTGAACATAAGACTATTAAATCATATTAGAAGAGACCATCAAAAAATCATTTAGACCTCAATTAAAGCTATTACCATTAAAAGATCTGCATCTTCAAAATGCCATGAAAAATTAATAATGATTGCCAATCAAAGCAATATCGTTTCTCTAAGGGGTTATTATAGAAAGAAATCACTTAAAACCAACCCCCCACCTGATCTGTCCCTGGCTTGTGCGTCACCATATGCCGCTCGAGCTGGGTGCGGTAGGCAAACGTGTAGCTACAAAGAGGGCAGGAAAAGTTCTCCTCATTCTTCTCGTGGCGGTACTTGATGTGCTCCTTCAGTGATGTCAAGCGCTTGTAGCCCCGGTCGCAGTAGGGGCAGGTCAGCAGTTGGGCAAAAGCATCTGGAGTTCCAGGTGGCAGGTCTGTAGCCGAGAGACGAGAGGGACAGAAGCAGGCCAAAAGGTCAGTAAATCAATGGCAGCTAATGGGCTGACTGCCCGGGATGGTATGACAGGAATCACGGCAATCTGCTCCACGAGAGTGCCATCATTGCTCTCGGCCTCCGCGCACACCAGTCCCCTTGCACACCCAGGACAGACTTGTCGGAATCGGCTCACACTGCGCTAGAAAATCAATTAATTACTTGAGCTTTTTGGGGGAAATTTAAACAGCTGATAAATGAGGAAATTCTCTTTAGGTGACTGACAGTTCGTTGTCGACCTTCAATCACATCTGACTGAGGAATTCACAGTGCGAAGGAGCTTTTCAGGTGTCGGTAAAGAAGAACAAAAAGTTAGGGTCAGTATCTCTAAACTTTTTTTGTTGCTCAAAAGTGAAATATTTCGGAAAGATAGGAATCAATTTAGATATTTTTATCTCTTAGAAATAGGCTCTAATTGTTCTTGTTCTGTATTGGATGTACAAATGACACAAATTTGCTGACAAAAAAATTTCACAATACCCTAAAATTACAGTTCTAATCTTTGCTCATGAAATTCCATGCCTCTGCAGCTGTTCTTCAAATTTTAAGGTAAACACCCAGGCATGTAGTGCATTTGTAATTGTAACAGCTGCAGAGGTCAGTGTAGTGGCTAAAAATGAATTACAGCCTCACCATTTTCTTCTTGCCCATTGGCCTCTGGCGTGCCAAGGCGAGACAGCTCCTCAGGGGCTTCTGGGTAAATAATGGCTGTGTCACTGCGCTGAAGGTACTCCTCGATGCTGACTGCATGGCCATCGCGTTCCTCCAGTTTTCTTTTGGCAAAGTATTCCTCAAAGTCTGATGTGCAATTTGCATTCTTAACTGAAATCACAAAAGGAGAAGAAATGTCTTTTCAGAGCCTTCTTCCTAGGAGCCCAAGTCTGCTTAGACCATTGTTAGTAAGAAATGTTGACTTGCAAAAAGAGAACAAACACCTAGTTTATTTATAAGAAGTGTTGCAGGTGATCAGTTATTGATTAAATGCTGCTTCTCACAATACATGCAAAAAAAGAGAACACTTTAAGTTAAATAGGCACATTTTATTTTTCTTCTTTCCTGGAATACTAGTCTACATAATCCACAAAGAATGAAAGAAATTTTAAAATGTTCTCAGGGAAAATTCTTAAAAAACAGAACTACACCCTAAGATCCATAAAAATGAGAGATACTATAAGCTCAAAGCTATTTTAATAGTCTACATAAAACTTCTTTTTCTCGTAAGAAAGGTATATTTAATTTTTTATTGTGCACTAAACTTAACTTTCCTAACCACTGATACATCCTGTTGCTAAATATGAGTTTTTAACCCTCTGCTCTCGGAATATCACAGACGGCCAGGACTCCATAGTCTGAGACGGATGTGAACGGACAGGTATTCCTAGAGAGATAATAAAGCAACTTTGTAAAAAAAATCATGGAATGCAGCAGTTTATCCTTCTCCATAATTTCAATATTTAGCTCAGTTTTTAAAACTCCTGAAAATAAAATTAAGAAATAAAATAAAAGTGACAGAGGGAGTTAAGAAACTGGCAATATTGCTATGTGATTTGGGTATGATTTTTAACTTTTGTAATTATGACACCATTCCCATGAAATGAATAATAGATGTAGATCAATTTTAGCTACTTGTGTCTCAAGACTTTGTATATTTAAAACCTCTAGATAGGTTTCTGAAAGAAATTATGGCTTAAATATCCTAAATAAAAATTTTTATGCATAAGACAGACTTGGAAGAGTGGCTGGTACATTATTCTCTACCATCAGTAGGTGAAAAAAAGTCCTTAACTGCTACAGTTCATGGGGTAGTCCTACTTTCAGAGTTTCTGAGAGCAATTAACCTTGATTCCATTATACTCCTCACCTCACCTCTGCCCTGAAAGATATTACAGTATTTGCCCCACTAACTTATCCCTGGTAATTTGTGGCAGGGTGATGTTCTAGCAAGCTTATCAATTTTTATTTTTATTTTTGGGTTTGACTATTATGAACTTGTGGATAATAGATGAGAAGAATAGAAAGTGGAACCTTCTATTAATTCAACAAATATTTACTGAATGACTGGTATGTGGTAGGCATCATGTCTTGTTTTGGTAAGCAAAAAACAGATCCATTCTCATCCTTCTGGAAGCCATGAGAATAATCAATACAACTGATATTATCTCAGAAATAAATATAACATTAGAAACTCAAATAAGTACTATGAAAGAAAGTTGTGTGATGAGATGAAAGACGAGGGGGACCTGACGGATCAGGAAAGCTTTAACTGAGAAAGCATGAAGTTAACTAACTTCAGAAGCTGCGGAGGAGCAGCATGTGCAAGGATGCGGTGACTGGGAGGAGCATAGTGCATTTCACAATCTGAAAGGACAGTGTTAGAGTGCAGGGAGTGAAAGGGGAGCACCACGACGTAAGGGTGGAGAGGCAGGTGGGAACCAGACCATGTAGCGTGCGATAGCCCTATTAAGGATTTGGATTTTATTCTAAGACGAACAGGAAGCCATTGAAGGGTATTAGGCAAGGAGGATGGTTGGATGAAACTATGGACTATCTGCATTTTTAAATGACAACTCTGGCTATAGTATAGTAAGGATAGGAGGAAAAGAAAAATTGATTCAGGGAAACAAGTTAGGAGGCTCTTGCCACAGATAAAGGCAAAAGATAAAGGTTAAGGAATTGGTGATGGAGACTATGAGAAGTGGCTGGACTTGGGAGATACTTAAGTAAACTCGTTAGACTTGGGAAAGGATTGGGTGTGCCAAGGAGGGAGGTGCTAAGGTGCTCATACTCTTAGGTTCAGGCTTTTTGAATTTGATGGATGGTAGCTGACACTCACCAAGCACTGGAATTCTAAAAAGACTTGAAACTATGAACTAATACATTGGATCAAATGAAAGGAAACTGGGGGGAATTACACTTTGTAGACTATTAAACTAAGTGCTAACAATCCTGAATACTGTGATCGCAAAGCCTTCTCTTTTGCCACTTTGACTCCTGTTAAGTTTAACAAGAGCAATAGTCTGATTCCAACACCTGTATTTTCTTCAAATATAGGTTTGGAATGTGCAATAGAGGATTAATATTTTATGTTTTGTAATTTTGTTTAAATCCTTTCTTAGAATCTTAAGTCTAAAATCTGTTCTTAGAAGAATAATAATGATTAAGACCATTTTTCCATGGGTATACTCATGATGCCATAGATGCTTGCCAAAGGATATTTATTGGTAGTGATTGTGATGGTGTCATTTAGCTTGCGCCATTAAATCGCTAGGGAGTAGGAAGGAACTGCCAACTTGCACAAATTATTTATTCATTGTTTTGGATCATTAAAATAACTTCAGATCTAACAAAAATCACCTTTTGTTTTTAAGGGAAAGAAAAGATAAAAGGAACAAAATGGTGGATCCAAGATGAACTTCTTTTGAGCAACTTCACTAATTTGACCAGTAACTAACTTCTTTTTCAGCACTGTGGCAGTAGAAGGTAATGTAATAGCTCCTTTCTGAACCCAGACCTACTCAAAAGTAGTCAAATGTTTAAGACATGATTTATTTAAATTTTTGAAGAAATGTCCCACTTGAAGATCTTTAGTGTAACCCAGAAAACATAGATGGATGTACATTTAACATCCTAATTTTATCTTGATATTTCAGCAACTATTTGAATTATCTGGCTATCTTTGCATGAATTTTCATTTGCATATGAATGTTTCCATCAGAAATGTAATCAAATGCAAATTCAATTGGATTTGCATTAATAGCCTTTCAGCTTAAAAGGGAGGAAAATTCTGATTTTTCTGGATAGGCAAACTAAACTGCATCTAGATACACTATTGGTGTTTGGAGAGGCAATTCACTTGCTAGATCAAATTTGGCTATGCTAGATTTCTATGTCAAGTGTAGTGGGGACAAAAGACATCAAATCATGTACTCTCTTTAAGGATCATCTTGGATAATCTTTATATCCTGAGCATTGCGTATATTGCCTAGAAATTATTAGACCCTCAAGAATCATTTATGGAATAAGTGTGGAATAAATTATGTCCTTAACACTAATTTTAGTGCAAAAGTCTTCTAGTAAAAGGAAGCAAAAGATAAGATACATACACTTGAGCTAGGGACTTAGACTTACTATTAAGGCAATTGGAGAACAATTATGGGATAAACTGTGTTGTGGTGATCAGAAATACTTGCAAGAATTCTACAGGGCTCAGATGAGCATTCAAAAAGGGTTTCATAAAGAAGACAGTACCTAATCATTTACATCTATTTGCTCCATCAGGATTTTTCTTCACGTGGTATAGATATGCTATAAGTTATATATCTCATATATCTAGAGCCACTTAAGTGGGCTAGAGTTGAATCTTCCATGAACTGTGGATATAATGTGATTTTTCTTTGGTGTTGCTATGGATACTAGTAACGTATGGTTTTTCTGCCCAGCACCACAACATTCTCCTTTGTCTGGGAACAGCTCCCCCTTTTCCAAATTGCCAAACTTTATGGTACCCAAAGGAACTGCCACGCCACGATCCTCCTCCCCTAGTGACAGTGGATTAATCTGTGCTTGAAGCAAACCAGTCTTAGTCCTCCATTCTCCAGGCCAAACCATTAATTGGTCTAGGGGTAGCCAACAGATTCAACTGAGTTCAGTAAATCCCTTCCCAATGATTTTAGGACTTTGTTCCAAAGAGAGCATCAAAGTAGGGTTTTTTTTTTTTGCTTTTCGTTTTTTTCCCAAGTGATTATAGTTATAAGATGTAGAATGAAGGAATTAATTTTTCCCATGTAGAGTAAGATTTAGGAAGCAAGAGAGCGAAGAAGACACACAGAGAAAAGCAGAGACAAGATGGAAGTCCAGACAGTATATTTCTACCTCCACTTACTCCTGAGGCCAATCTGCACCTCTGTCATTCCAGTGGCTCTGCTGTCAACCCTCCTGAGATTCTATGAGCCAAAAAATTCCTTTTCTACTTTAGGCTTTGTTGTCCTTCAGTCTCTTAGACCTCAAATCACTCTAACTGTTTTAATATTAGAACAAATGATGGGATTAAATTTTAGTTACTCTCAAAATTGTTGGGAAGGATGAAATTTTGATTCCATTTGGAAGTTTACATTTTTGGTTGTTACAAAGATTTTGTAATACTGTATAGTGAACACAGGGATGAGGTAGAAAATTTGCTAGAAAGTTATAGAATTCCCCACTGCATTTTTTTAATGTAAAATCAACCTCGTCTTTCTTTTTTCTGTAATCCTCTTCACTCCTTGGTCTTCTTGGAAGAAATGCCAAAACACACTGACGAAGGATATTTGCATGGTACTTATGATCACACCATAACAAAAATTCACAAGAAACCTCAAATAATTTCTTCCCAGACCTTCTCCAGAGATGTTGCATTTAGTCCTAAAATTTACCCTAATGTCTTGCAAATATCTCAAGCTTTGCTAAGGTCAGGTAAACTTTTCTCTATCCAAAAAAATAACTTCATTAATTAAAAATGTTTCCTCATTGCCACATGTATTTTAACATTGTTAGGGTAAATTTCTAGGTCTCTTCAAGTCAGAAAAGCCTCAAACTTCTTGTAAATATCTAGGTCACTCTTACTAATGTTGCTTTGTAATGATACTTTCATATATATCTTTATGTCTATCTGAAATAAATATAATACTTTTAGATAGGTAATGATAAATATCGATATGGACTGACTTTAAAAATTATTGCCTAAAAAATAAACAGTGTTAACAGAACTCTAAGTAAAATAGAAATATTGGTCTCCAAATCAATCATCCCCCATAATCGAGTTGTTTTAGGATACTTCCTCAAAA